GAGGAACGAATGGGGGAGAGAGAGAGGAACGAATGGGGGAGAGAGAGAGGAGCAATGGGGGGGAGAGAGAGAGGGAGAGAGAGAGAGGGAGAGAGAGAGGGGGAGAGAGAGAGAGAGGGAGAGAGAGGGAGAGAGAGAGAGAGAGAGAGGGAGAGAAAAGAAGGGGGGGAGAGAGATGTATTACGGTTTCCTGATAAAGCTGTGGAGAGTATGTGCTGCAGGGAGGTGGATGTACCTCGCACAACGCACCCAGGAACGAACTCTAGCTCCGGTCCTTTTCCTGTGGGGGAAACTGTGGACTCGATGTCCTGACAGGCTGGAGTTTGTGCAACCTGCACAAACACAAGCTCACCATCATTAAACATTTTGAAATGCAATATAAAATTACTGAAAAAATAGCAGCTCACTAAACCACAACCGCTCAAACCAACTAGCAACTACTACCGTGAATCGGGCAGACAAGGAGTCCGAGAAAGTTGTTCCCCCATGTGACGTAATATGACGCTAACAAAAACTTTTTAAATTGTAGTTTTCAGGCAAGGTTAAGCATAAATGTAGAAAAAAAACAAACCTGTAAGTTGCTCCTCAAGCAAAATCTGTTCTCACTACGTCTGATACAATGTCTCCATCTCTCAGGTTTAGTGTGGAGAACGCATACATCGATGAGAAAGAGGATGCCTGCGATGCGCTGGGAGAGATTGCCTTCAGCACTGGGTAACAGATATTTACAAAAAAGCTTTTTGTAATAAAATCTCTCACATTTCTTGTGGCATGCTTTACCTTGCGTTGCTATGGTTTCCCCTGACAGTGCTGCCTTCCAGCCCTTCTTGGAGTCCAGCTTCCAGCAGGTTTACGAGATGAGAGATGTAAGTCCCCTCTTGCTGCTCAGCCCCATCTTCCTCCTCCTCCTCCTCCTCCTCCTCCTCGGTCTAAAGTCATGTGAAGCTCCTTTTGGGCATGCACACTTCAACTTGACCTATCATGCTGTTGACTTGATGCTTTTATCTGTGTCCTCCCTCCCTAGTTTCCCCATGAGGACGTCCGCAGGGCAGCATTTGGAGCTATGGGCCAGTTCTGCAGAGCTCAGCATCTAGTGTGGAAGGAGATTCCCACTGAGGCCAACCACCAGGGTAAAGCCTCTCTTCTCACCAACTCCACTCTACTGTCAGGAAATCCATAAACAAGTGTTCTCTAAGCGTTTCAACTCCTTTTGAACTTGCCTCCTCCCTCCTGTACATGTCGCCTTCCTCCACCAGCCTTACTGAAGTTGCTGGATGTGGTGCTTCCCTGCTTTGTGGAAAGCGTTCGAACAGAGCACGAGCGCCAGGTAGTGATGGGCATCCTGGAAACAATGAACAACGTCATGAAGTCCTGCAAAGAGGAGGCTTTCAAGAACCCTGCACGCCTAAAGGAGATCAGCCATGTCATCCGTGACGTGCTCAAGAAGAAGGTGAGAACACTGACAATCATCCCACGACGGCTTTATTTACTTTTCACTCAAATCCTTTCACATTCATTATATGTGACTGTTCTTCTAACCCTCCACTATGGATGTGTTTCTGCTCAGACGGTTTGTCAGGACGGTGGCGGCGATGAAGCTGATGATGAAGAACAACAGGTTGGTTTTCCTCTGGTTGCATATTAAGGCCCAGTCATGGACATTAAAGTTCATCTTTACATGGTGAGATCTACTCCTAAGTGTCACCACATTACAGCTGTTTCCTTTCTAGAAAGGATGTGTTCATACTAATGAATATAAATCAGCATTGTTGTGGACATATTGATGTATTGGTTTTAAAGTGAATGGATAAAACATGGGACTGATCATTCAAGAGCTATGCCATCACACCGCTTCAGTCAAAATAAATAGCATCCATCGTACTCTCTGTGTGTGAGTGTGTGTGAGCTGCTTCACTGCCCAGTGACTCACTGTGCTTCCTGGTTCAGGCGGAGTACGACGCCATGCTCCAGGAGTTTGCTGGGGAGGGGATTCCTCTGGTGGCGTCGTCTGTGCCTGCAGACAAATTCTCCCCTTTCCTCAACGACCTGCTGCCTCTGCTCATGAACAAAACTGTGAGTGTGGACCGACTGACAAAGAACTTCAGTTTAACAGATCGTTTACTCACATAATCACATTTATTATCCTAGTCCTATTTTATTATGATGCTCGAACTCCTGACAGTGACTTGCTTTTTCTATTTGTTAGTCACGAGTAAATGACGAGGGTAGAATCACAATATTATAATGTTTCAAAGCGTTGATGATTTTAATCAACGGTGCATTTAATGCCTTTGATGTTTCCTTTTTGGCCAGTATCACTCTAATGATTGTATTCCTCCCTCAAAAGAAATCCTCTTGCACGGTGGCAGACCGCTCCTTCTCTGTGGGAACAATCGGAGAAATCCTGCAAGCCCTTGTGACCGCACCTGGGGGCGCGGGAGTGGCGGGCCGACTGTCCAATCGCTTGCTCCCCGTGCTGGTAGCTGGGGTGAGAGACAGTGATGCTGAGGTCCGCAACAACAGCGTGTTTGGGCTGGGGTGTCTGGCCCAGGCTGCCGGACCCATCTGTGTCACGTATCCTTCTGCGCGTTGATGTGTCCAATACATGTTAATGACATAAAGCATCACATGCAGCTGTTCCTTAATGAAGCGTTCTCCAGAGACTATCCCATGATGCTGTCTGTCTTCTCCAGCATGCTGACCAAAGAGTCAGACCTCAGGGTGATTGACAATCTGTGTGGAGCGCTCTGCAGGATGATCCACAGCAACGTGGACGCTGTCCCTCTCGAGCAGGTGCCGATTGTATATCATACATGCTGACACATATTCACAAACTGGAGATCTGCTGCTAACCTGGATAATCTTTGTGCTCGCTAACAGGTTGTGCCCGCTCTGGTGGGTCGTCTTCCCCTCAAAGAGGACATGGATGAGAACAAGACCGTGTACAGCTGCCTGGCCATGCTCTACACACACAGCCCTGCTCTGGTACTGCACACACACACACACACACACACACACACACACACACACACACACACACACACACACACACACACACACACACACACACACACACCTGGTGTTATAGTCTGTGTGTAGAGGGTTGTGTTGACATTCAGTCTCCATCAGCATACAACACACTCGGTAACTCATTCAGACACATTCTACAGTTTGTCTTTCAAGACTTTTAAATGCCCACCTCATGCCTGCCTCGTGCCTATATCAAGACACAGAGAAATTGGTTGCAAACAAAAGCAGAAATGTATAATTATACATAATTGGAGCAGCTGTTGAAATGTTTCCCATGATCCCAACAAATATATTGACAAATCTCAGGCCAATCTTTTAAACATCTTTATTACATTTTGTTATCTTTATAAAGTAGTTCAACAACACTTTGTGCATACAGAACATGTTAACTCTCTAGCTCACGCAGACTTTAGACAAACATAGTCATTTAAAGACAACAGGAAAGCTAAATATTTGATTGAGTCTCTCCCAATCTGTTCCAACGAGCTTCAATGATACATGGTGATGAATCTTTTCAGACATTGTGTGATGAACCCTGACGTTGAACATCGTAACAACAATTCTTTAAATCTGTTTCTCCTTTTCAGGTTTTGGGGCTAATGAAGCCCATCGTGGCCGCTTCCAGTCAGGTCCTCGGCAACAACAAAGTGGATCAAGGTGAATTTAGATATTGTCCCTCATTAAGCTTCCTCACCACAGATTCATATTGCTGTGTTTTTGAGTCATCTCGTAACTCTTATTGTTTCTCTCCCCCTCAGAAACCCAGAGCACGTTGGCGCTGCTGATGAGAGACTTTGCTCAGCAGCACTCTGCAGCCTTCCAAGCAGCTGTGAGCTCACTTCCTGGAGAGCAGCAGGCAGCACTCAGCGCAGCCCTCTCGTAGCGCGCTCACGTCCTTCCACTCGGGTCAAAAGCCAGCACAAAAAAAAAAAAGACGTGGGGACAGTTTGTGGCTTCTCCCAAAAATGATCTAAATATAGCACTTCAACCATTCTTGTTATCATTTCATTTGACATTTACACCTAGGAGGACTCACTTTTAATGTATTTGCTCAAACGCATGATGTGTTTAAGTTTTATTATTTTAAGAGTTACCCTCCCGTGTTGTTCCCATTGTATTCTGTTTCCCTGTTACTACTGTAAAGTGCTTCCACTATAGTCGACCTTTCTGACACGGTTTGGACTTCTGGCTTCTGCTGTCTGAGTGTGAAACATTGATCTGCTGATAAAAGTCGTTATTTGTTCCAATCTCCCAGAGTAATTCAATTCACTTTAAACTCTTGATGCTTATTCTTTCTCCTAGGGTCGCCTTACTTAAAGATATATCAGCTGATGGGGCATTCTAGCAGAAACACAGCAGTTAAAACAACTCCAAATACTTTATAGCTCACACTATATAAAAACTACTTTATCCTCAGCTCATCCTATGACTGTTTGCAGCCTCCTCTATTGGTGCTATTTCTAGTCAGCCTGTTCAAACTATTTAACAGTATACTACAACATATATTTGACAAGATATTTTTACAAATGCTACAAAGATTTAACATGATGCCACAATGCATGCCGTGCAGTTAATGTTGAGCCATTCATCCTCGCCTTGCTCTAAAAACAACACTGAGTCCTATAATAAATGCAAACTTGCATCTTAGAGTTAACAAAGGGATTTGTCGTGGAGTAGTTGCACATTAATGCTGGTATGTTGACATTAATCTGCTCTCTGGTTGGATGATGGTGACTCATCGTTCCTCAGATCTCTCGTTGCTCCTCAGTCATTTCAGGCTGCTGGTTTTCCCTGTCCAATGCCAAAGTCATCTGCACCGGGGTCAGCCCGTTGTCCCCTGACAGACAGAGAAGTCTTATTTGAAATGCATGTGCCACCTGAACCACATAGATATATCTGTATGTGCTAATAGTGGTAAATGCCACACATTCGTAGCGAGTGGAACCAGCCCTATGAAGCTTTTCACACAACTCAACTGAGAGGACACGTCAGGTCTATGATTATTAATATTATCAGTGTCTAAATCTGCCTGTTTAGACACAGTTGTTGACATCAGGCATCTTTAGCTTGTGTCACGACAGTCTGAACCAAAACGCATTCTATGCATTTCCTCATAAAGGAATGAACATCTATGATTGGACAGTTGAACAGATTTGTAAGCGAGATAAAGGCTAAGTTTATCATTAAAGTAATTCTTCATTTTAAAATGGCTTGGCTTTAGAAATGTCCGGCTTTTCTGTTGTGAATCATAATAAACTGACATTTTTGGGATTTGAGACATTTAAATTAATTTCTGTACAATCTGATTAATTGAGAAAATAAATGGCAGATAAACCGATAATGTAAATAGTCTTTAGTAACAACTTTAACAAATTCTCGATGGAGGGTCCACGGCTTTCTCTGGACTCTGATGTAAAGTATGATCTCATTGCAATGCCTCAAGCTTTAGCACCGTGTGGTGATCTCCATCACTGACAGTTCCCCTCTCTGTAGGGCCGCTGCAGCCTGAGGCCGGCTCAGGGACTTGTGGGGCAGGGTTTTGCACAAACAGAAAATAACTATTGGATAAACTATGAGCTAACACAGATAATGACAATCCATAAACCCTGAGAGCTGGAACGGCAACCTAAGATCCTGTACTGAACGAAGTGCTTACAGACCTGTGCCTCCGCTTTTCCAAGGCAGGATATTCATCCCTGTGCGACAGAAGGAGCGGTCAGTGTGGGCCTCGGTGCTGTACAGCACCTCCTGCACCTGTTTCTCTCCGGGCTTCTGGGCTTTCACTCTCACCTAGAAGAGCAAACATCATCTTGTAATCCAGACGCCCACATTTGTTTTTTTTATTTCATATCTGGACAAAAAGTCATACCTCGAGGATGGTGACCTCTTTCTCCTTCAACTTCCCTGCTTTGTTCTTAACCTGGGTCTTCTTGGTGTCCACCCACACCACCCTCTCCTTCACCTCTGACCTGCACGCAGACACACATGTTAACACATGTACATGAAATATCTTTTTAAGACCTCTCACATGAAGCAAACTCACTCTTCGATGCCCAGGTCGGCCAGTGTGGTGTCCAGGAAGGGGAACGGCTGGTGTGCCGGGTCGGGGTGCACCTCTATGGGCAGATTCACAGACATGGGGAGGTCCCACTCCAGCTCCACGCGCACCACGGTTGCCCGTGGGGTCTCCCTGCCCGCTGGTTCTCCATTGGCCTGCTCCACATCGGCCTCTTCCTCCTCCAGCAAGGTTTGTGTCTCGTCTGCTGCCAGCTTGACTTTGTGATCTCAAAAAAAAATGAAGTTTTCCTCTCCCTCTCTGTGACAGATGCTCTGTTTCTGTTCTGCTGCAGGAACAGGCTGCTGCTGGTGATTCAGAGCTCTGTCTCTTGTGATGATGGAGGAAAGTGTGAGAGTCTGATGCGTAGCCCTCTGATTTAAGCAGCCGGTGTGAATGTGTGTTATGTGCCACTCAGATGTTAGGTTTATTAGACTGTCAGGGTGGTGATGGACGGGCGGTCTTTGCACTGCCCAGGTGTCGTTGTTCATCAGTCTGGGTGACGTCAGTGGCCTTAAGCACTTTCATCTGTGATCAAACAACTGAAAACGTAATGCTTTTTAAACTACACTTCATATTTGTTTTTAAATTGGCTTTATAACAATGTTCCAGAGGTGACATCAAGTTTATTTCTGTGTTATGAGGTGATTCTCTCCACCATACATCTACACCTCCACTCATTTGTCTCCCATTTTATCATTTAAATGAAATTGAGGATGACACATGGATCATTCACAGCACAGCGTCACATTTTCAGCTTTTGAAAAATGTGTTCTTGTTCTTACTTTACAGGGGGACACAAACATGGGGACACGTGTGGATCCATGCGTGTGTGTGTTGTGCTGTAGTAAGTAAGCCATCTTTTCACCACTAAACTAGCACTCTGGGCCCAGCATGTCACATTCCAGGGACAGAGGACTCAATAAATCCTCTTCACTGCGGAGGGATACCGATGATGTAAAGGCTGGGGAATGTATAGAGCGAAAGGCAGAACTAAGCATCAGGGTATGGTAGCTGATTAAAGCAGTGTATTTCCACTAATAATGTCCTTTTTTTAGCACTTGATTATGTAAAGGGTCCCCATTTTGTATTTCCCTTAGCTTTATAGCATCTTTCTGCTTGTTTTTTGAAGCTCAAATCAGATTTTAGCCTGGTTTTCTTCACTCTAAAAAAAAGCCCTAAAACTCACGCAGTTAGCTACAACAACACCTGCTGAATATAAAGCATTTAATAGCCAAATGTCCATATATTCTGACTACAATCCAGGCCAAATGCTAATGTTTTTCGAGCTCAACCGGATATTTTAAAGATAAAATGACAGGTTGGATATTTTCCAACAACACATTTTTCGACAAGGTGTTTGTACCACCTTTTTTGTTCCATGCGAATAACATCATGATATTTTGGCCTCAGTAGCTAGCCTGTGACCCTGCTTTCCCACCAATGTGTGTAAACAAACACTCACATTTTGTCCTTCAGTGCCAGTGATGAATTAATAGTGGAGGAGGTGGCCATGACTAACCGGCAAGCTGTTTCAAAGCAAGGCATTTAGCCCTTAACCATGTGGCTCTGTTGTGATCACAATTAGGCATTCCTTCAGTCAAAAGCTTAAGCAGGGTATATGCAGGAATCCTGAAGTCAAATGTAATACCTTTTAATTAAGACCTTTTTTAAGACCCTTTCCATACATTTTAAGACCTCATCGCCACTTTGAGTTTTAACCGTTTACATTAGCGAAACTTTACCTCACATTTACTACTACACAAAATCACGCAACTACGCAATGATTCAGGCAAACTGTAGAATACAACCTCTTTGGACCATTTATTTACTTTACATTTACTTAGTGAAAACAAGCTACAAAATGTAATACCTTGGAAAATGCCGTTTAATACTTTTTAATAGTCTTAATTTTCGCTAAATTGATTTATCAACTTGTAATACTTTTTAAGACCCCGCGGACACCCTGCTTAAGGGACAGTGTATTTCCTGGCAGAGCAACCAGAATGTGTCACAAGTAGTATCAACAAAATCCCCATTCTGCTGTGTTGATGTGAGTGAGGGTTTCTGCAGCACTGACCTCAGCTCAGTCGCAGCGAGGTGCCACATGGATCCTCTCTACATGCAGTGCATTTAACAGGCAAACACTTTAATTGTGTGGAGTTATTGGGGCATGAGGTCAGGCAGGAGTTTTCTGCCAGAGCGGCACAATATGCCGCTGTTGGAGGGGGGGGCAGTGCTGATGTACTTACAAGTCACAATTCACTGGTTTCTTTATGTGTTTCTGCACCATAAGCTTAAATTCGAGTGATGCTTTTCATGCCATTATTCTGGGATTTATCTCAGAAGATCAATATCTGTAAAAAAGAGACACCTCACTTTGCTCATTTTTCCAATTAGGGCGTAACCTCATTTAAAAATGTTTCCAGTTATCCTACTGTCAATGTAAGATGACAACATCATATGGAACATGAAAGAATTAAGTAATTTTCTCAAAAAACGGCAAAGGTTTATTAGGTCTGAATGTGGAAAAACAATTCAACATCTTAAAAAATATCTGTTATTAAGTTAATTATTAAATATCATTCACAGAGAAAATACAAAATGCACAAAGGCTTAATTTAAAATCATTAAAAAAGTTAAAAATCCATACAGAATGTACACACTTTACATGTTCAGATGTTAAACACTTTAACAACAATAAATACAATTCATTTAGTAACACTAATAAATTCATTTGGTATAAATATATTTAAATAAAACTATATGAACAATACAAAACAGATTAAAATGGTTAAAAATGTCTGCTTAAAACACCAGTGAAAAGCAAATAATGCAGTTCAATGTTTCACCCGTATGAGTATTTTAACAATTAATATAAAAACATTTAACTTGTGTGATGTGTTTTTTAAAATGAGTGGCTCTGATGATCTCATGAGTTACCGAAAGGCAAAGGTTCTCATTCATTCATTCATTACATCCATCAATATAAAAAACTGTTCCTCAGCAGGTCGAGTAACAGTGTGTGTGTGAGCATGTGTGTGTGTGTGTGTGAGTGTGTGTGAGCGTGTGGGAGAGTGTGTGTGTTCAGGCGTGTTCAGGCTGCAGGGCTTATGGTGATGCCACTGTAGGGCTCAGTCTGTGCTATGGTCACATGTCCAGCAGACAGCAGCTCTGTAGAACAGGAACATCACAGAATCATCAACATGTTTGTATCATCACTGTTTGTATGTAATTCATTATTAGGTCATCAATGCTTGTCAATATCTTAATTGTCATTAAACGTGCGTGCTCACCCAGCAGTTTGTAGAGTGTGTGAGCTGCAGTGGCGCGGTCGGCCTCTCGGGACACCAGAGAGTCAAAAGTAACTTCTCCAAATCTTTGCAGTCTGGAGGAGATCCAGCTGGGAAACACAAGCAAGGTGAGCAGTGCATCATGGGATCCAACCTCGAGGACTTGTATGGACAGTCACATTAGAATACCTACCACCCATCAGGGCTTCGCTAACTTTGAAAATGATATATTTCTTCTGTTTTTTATTCAACACCATCTTGGCTTCAGGAAAACCTCAAAGCTGAAAGGCTTTTGCTAAAGTCTTGAGTGTGTGTGTTGTAAGGAGTACCTCAGCATGTCCCTGCTCTCTGGGCCAGTCTGAGCCTCGGGCATCTCGATGTTCTCCTCTGCTATTGGCTCCATTTGTGCCTGGGACTCCATATGTGGAGACCTAAACACACACACACACACACACACACACACACACACACACACACACACACACACACACACACACACACACACAGTGATCTCTTTCTATATCCATGGAGCTGTGCCTCTGTCTATCCCCCTGAGACTCACCATCTGCTGACGGGAGTGATCACATCGGTGATGGATCTGTCGTCCCGTGACATGTCCATCAACGTATCTAATGCAGCTGTAGAGACACAAACATATAGAAACACAAAGTCATGTGACCGTAATGTAGTTCCTTTATAACATAACGTTCTTGGGAGTGCATTTACGCTTCAAAAAGCAGGACAGTGTGTGTGTGTGTGTGTGTGTGTGTGTGTGTGTGTGTGTGTGTTTGCCACCGAGCTATTTTCCGCAATATTCTAAAATAATGAAAACTGCTTTCTGTGTGGGGAGCCCTTGCGACGCTACCTTCCAGGTCGGCTTCCAAAAAAGACGTCATCACTGCACCAATCTTTTGTGCAGCCAAAACATGATTTAAAATACTGACATATTGTATGAGAGGGGGGAGAGGAGGGAGAGGAGGGAGAGGAGGGAGAGGAGGGAGAAGGGGGAGAGGAGGGATGCTTACATGAGCCGTCGGCGGGTTGCAGTCCTGACTCACTGGATATCTGAGAGAGAGGGTCAGAGCTTCATGAAAGAGAATAATGTAGCACTCAGCCTGTGACCGCAGGCTAGCTGGCTAACCTTTATTATTACAGACACATCTTCACAAATACCCTCAGATTTGAGCATGGCACTAAAGCTTAATAAGAAATGCCATATTTTATTTTCACAGACAAAACTTCAGGACATGATATACAGTAGAGGCAGGGGCTTTAAAACAAGACTGCTCTAAAAAGACCACCTTCACACACCTCTCTCATGCTCGACTGCCTCCTCTTCCTCTCTGCCCTCAGTATTTCTCTGTCCTGCTCTGACCCCCCTCTCGCCCTCTCCTCCTCATCTTCCTCCTCTCCTCCCCCGAGTCCAGGCAGGGGGGTGAGCAAGGCACACTGTTTCCATAGTGACAGGAGGTCAGCATTGACGAGGGCTGTGGAGGGGTCAAAGGGCAGGTCAGGGTCAGTGTTTGATCATTTCTACACTAAAGCTGATGTTATGAATTTGTGAAAAGGTACAAAGGAATGTGTTGTATCATTACCAAACAATGTGTGTTTGGGGAGTTACACCTTCTTACTATGTGTTGTCTCTGATTGGACATCAAGTTCGAATCTCACCTAAACATTTTAATTCTATAATTGATAGCCGTTGAGACTTATTTAAAGAGCCTGTGACACGAACCCAACAACTGTTGTGCAATGAAATAGTGGGCTACTAGTAATCTGGAACCGTCAGTTTAAAAAAGAAAAAGCGATACCGTTCCGATAAATATCAATAATTTCGAACATCGCGGGAAAATTCCTTCGACTCATTTTGAGGTTTTGGGGGAAGCCGGAAGTGACGTCAATGCGGGAACGCTTCACTGTGCGGCGAGAGAGCCAAACACGGACAAAGTGTGTTGTCATGCGTAGAAATGGTGAATTACTGAGTTTAGGCACGTTAATAACGTTTTAATGAAGTTGACTACAGTATATTCATATGCGTGTTCATGTCAATTCGGCGAACATAAACATAAATGATCGTGGTGAAGATGATGATTCAATTAGGATTAAAAATCGGTAGTGAGAGCTGCTGAATTTCCTCCCGTCGNCTCACCAGCTAAATCCCTCGTCAGTTAAATGCCATTTTACGTTTCCTTACTACACGATACAGTATTTATTATCATTATAGTATTACTATTTTGGCGATTAGATAAAATATATATTATATTTGATGCAACTTTAGTTACATTTCCATGAGTTTTCCAAAACTTTTGGGAAAAATATTGTTTTCCAAAACTTTTCCAGGGCCTGGAATTAGCATTTTGAATTTCCATGACTTTTCCAGGTCTTTAATGACCGTAGACCCTGGTAATATGTGTGGATACATGAAGATGAATTCACTGATTAGAGAACATGTATTCACTATGTTCCTAACAGGAGTGGAAAAAGCGATAAGTGGGCCAACATCCTCTTTTGGAGTCTCAGCTAATGAACTGACCCAATTATAAATCCTCTGAAGATTATTTGATTATCTTGACTGGAAACATGTAAAATGTTACCGAAGCGACTATCACAAATCATAATAATTCTAATTCCTAAATAATGTGGGTCATATTTACACAAAGTGTCACCAAGCAGGGTGGAAGCATCCAGAGGAATCCTCTCATTGCACAGTTATAAACATCGTTATAAAGTCAGTTATGTTCAGGTGAGGCTGCTTCCAAAGGATTTATGATATGTTTGTTTATGACAAGTCTCACCCTGATCGTCCAGTGTGGCGTTGGGACCGGTCAGCAGGGAGTGCTGTGAAGCCGCCTCTCCATTCACATACATTTGCTAAAAATATATAACAAATGTATCATGACAAGGCAGAATACTAACATAAATGTATTTATCATAAGTGTGGACTGAGTCTGAAGAACACAGCATAGTAACAAACAGAATGTGTAAGGAAACATGATACAGAGGTTATTAGTAGGGCTGTCCCGAATACCATTTTTCGGGCTCTGGATATTTGGTAGTAATCAGCGGCAAATATTCGGCAACCGCTTCAATACGTGCATTTCGGTTTATTCACGGCATTCATTTTGTTATTCTACAGTATTGTTGTTTTATAGTTATTTGTTAATGTATACAACCCAATTTGTGTTCTTCAAAATTGAAAAAGATATTGCATTGTGTTTGTTACTTTTGTTGCAGTTGTATTTATGTCTTAAGTGTAATTTGGCTTGAAGTTGTTGTTGCTATGGAAACAACGTGACGGAGATTAACGGAGAAAAGTCCTATCTACATATAAAGACGGAGAAAGTAAACGATAAAGTTTATGGTTAAGTGTTAGCACCCCCCGAGGCACAAGCGCTTACGTTGATATTGGAGATTTCAATCAATTCAATTAAAAAACGAAAAAAACAAAACGAATAACGAAATTGAAACCCGAATAGTACTCCAACCAACGAATATTCATATATGGTACAGCCCTAGTTATTAGTATTGTTTTCTTCCTCCTGTCTGATACCTGATGCACTTCCATATTTAAAAAAAAGTTGAAATTCAAAAGCCAGACACACAGCTGTTTCTATTGTGCATTGTTAAAGGCACAGTCCAGTTAAGGGATCCTTTACAATTTATGATAGAGTCCAATCAATTATTTTCACATCCTTGCCACCATGTTATGTTCTGGTACACTTTGAATCTTCTGTGATTAAAGTCCCTCATGGTATTCCTACGATGAAAGATTACAGGGAGGACAAAGTCCAGCCGTGTGTACAAAGTGATTCACTGTTCTCCTTATACCAAGGGACAGTATGGAGGGAAATTGCACATATTTTGCTAGAATGGGAGTGACCTCCATAAAACAACGCCTCACTTAAAGTAGTTCATGGTTTATCAATGATTGATAATAAACACTGGGATATTTTCAGTTTGTAATGTCTGAGGTGTGGGTCGAAAAACAAATAATGTTTGACACCACCAACAGGTAACATCACAAGAGCATATCTTTAAGCCTATATGGCCGCGTAGAGGCTGAATACGGTATGTTTACTTTAGATAGGTGTGGCATTGACGGTGTGTTTGTGTGAGCCAAAGCCTCAATTGTACTTACGGGCAAAAAGGGCTTGCCTTACCGTCATTAAGATGCGGGAATATTTCAGTTTGTCTTAGACATTATTGTTATACATGAGTACAGGATACATGAGACAGACATCAGATTATTGTGGGATATGCACTTCCGGGTGTAGATATTGTTGTTGTACCTGGTGTGTTTTATAGGGGCTGGGCAGTTGGTGTAATGCCATGAGGCCGAAGAAAGGGTCCTGAGCTCCTTCCGCCTCCTCCATAATATACAGGTTTTCAGGCACATCCAAGGCCAACCTGCCAGAAAAGAGTGAATATGACTTATCAAACTATTGAAAATCACACGCTTCGGGCTGTGCAGGCTAATGTAATGCTATGCACACTTTTATCTGTCTGTTGGTTTCATGACATGATAAAATAATACTAGAGTGAGTTTCATGCACAGCATCTATAGAGTGCAGAATGTAGGAAGATATATTGCATCTGCAGGAGAGCTCATACATTACCGCCGCTAAATGACACAGCTTATTAAACATTTACGAGCCATTCTTCACATGAAAGAAGCTCAATTTGTCCATCACGACTCACGCGATAAAACTCTACCATCTCTTCACAGGTTTTATTCCCCAAAACAATCCCCCTTCATAAATATTCCACTACATGCTTATGAGCTCAGATTTCTCTAACACATATAAAACCTCTGCACAGCTTCACATTTTAGATGCCCTAGGATACAAAACAGTCTTTCACTGCGCATGTGTGTGTGTGTGTGTGTGTGTGTGTGTGTGTGTGTGTGTGTGTGTGTGTGTGTGTGTGTGTGTGTGTGTGTGTGTGTGTGTGTGCAGACCTGTCAGACTCAGCCATGTCAATGTAAGTGCATCTTTTAGAGCGCAGCAGGCGGTCTATGGTCTGTTGAATCTCCGCTGGAAAACAGGAAGACAAATATGAAAAGTTTCAAACACACCTTTTAATAAGTGCAGGTACTTCCTGTAGAAACAGAAGTAGAGGTCATATTGAGGTCAGGGTCTTAAATATTTGACATGGCAAATCTAATGAAGGTCATGTAACCATTCTTTCGTTTCACAACAAGAGGAGTGGACAATGCATCCTAGAAATACATTGTTATAATTATCTAAGGTAATTTATAAAAGATAATTATGTATAAACTCAGGGTTTATTGAAATCCACCTACTAGTCTGGACTAATAAAATAGTGGTATAATTTTCAAAGATCATATTAGGAAACTGGGAAGCCATGCTTTTGAAATACAGCATAAACACATCATGCTCTCTAAATTGTATGTGACAGTTTTGCAGGTTCCTATTTTATTCTACTTATTGTTGAAATGAAATACCATCGCTGAAACAGAAGGTGGATGCTTTCTTGGCATCTCCTGCGCTTATCATTATGCATTGTATTTCACTGTTATCATCCTCCGTGACAACAGCATGATTGTGAATCTGTCGGGCGCAATATCAATGTCAGTGTGTAATTTAAGAGCAGATGAATAGGAACTGTTCAGCTGTGTTTGATGATATTGCATTCATTAGTGCTATATTGGCTTCTTAATGAGACTTGCAAGGGGGGATCTGAGAAAATTCATTGTGCATTTAGGGCTGACAGAGACAACCGGTGTGCTGTGTTTTCATATTTTGGCTGAGCTTATCTTGGAAAGCCGCCTGAAAAAAACTGTTCGTGCTAAACTAAAGATTCTTGCTGCTTGACTGCATTTTTTAACATCTAAATGCTGGCACAGTAACTGAACAAACCATATTTCTTTTGTTATGTCTTATCTTGCAAAAGTAAGTCAAAAAAAATTTATTTTCACTTTCACTATGCCTTAAGTGAACGTTAGTGTGTGTAGATAATGTAGCTTGGACAATGATTATGTTACTCTTTTTTTTAACTGGTCTTCTCCTCTTACCCAGCAAGTAGCCACACTGCCGGTGGTAGACGACGACCACCCCGTACTGCAGCTGAGAGGACAGGTAGAGGGAGAAGCGAGGCCTCGGGAGGGTCGGCTGCAGTGGAGGAACCTGAGCTGTCACATAGTCCAGAATGTCCCCACTGTATTGTTGAGACATTTAACAAAATCAATGATGCAATTTAACATTGTATGTCAAGTCAAACCGGATTTAGGGCCAAACCTAATGATCATTTTCATTTAATTTAGATTTTGTCCATCCCAGTTTCTGAAGATCCAAGGTGATGCCTCTAAATGTCTTGTATGGTAATTCCAAAACAAAAATATATTCAGTTTAACACAATATAAAACAGAAAAGCAGAACATCTCCATAATTGAGGCTGAAAACAGCATTTCTTTCTAACATGAAATATTATCATATAGATGATGGTGATTCAATTGTTCGATTTATGT